TTACCCCAGGACCAGGCAGTGTTTCATTCTGTTGTACATAGGGTCACTATGGGTTGGTACCAACTTGATGGCACTTAACATCAACAACAAGACAGAGAGAGTAGATGATTGATAGACACTTATCACATTTGTTTAATCAAAGTCAATATTAAAATACTAAGCCAACTTGTTTCATCAAAGTCAAAATTAAAATATTAAGGAAACGAAGAAAAACAATTTTGGCTAATCACCTACTGTTTGAGGACTAAAGTGAGCTCGACCCAAGCCATGGTATTTTCAATAGTCTCATATGTATGTATACACATGTATCACATTCAAGCACAATCTTCATCGTATATGCTTTATTGATATATTTCCCATATCAACCACATAGCATATATAAACTCACAAACATTGGAATAATATCATTTATTTAGGGTAGGGAAGATTATTTGACTAGGGTAGGTAAAAGGAGAATCAATGTTAGGGAAAATCCTGGATTAGTCAGGAAAGGAAGCCGTATTAGTTGATTGTAAAAAAAAAAAATGTAGGAGTAAATCAGGTCAATGATGACAAAGGGTACTTCAGGAAGAGAAACAGCTTAGGTAAAGCTATGGTATCCCCCAAACAGTGTGACGCATAAGTCTAAGTAGTTCAAAAATGTTGGCATATAAAATACAAAGGGGCACCGTGGCAAGGACTATTAATGTAGGCAGGGACCGCCACTTGGACATGGATCAGTTTGCTAAAATCTAAGGAAGCAGATAGACTTGGGCCTGGATCAGTTTATTAAAACCTAAGGAAGCAGATAGACTTTCTAGATATGGATAAACTCTAGCACCCTCATATCCTCTATACTATCAACATATGCCTTCATACTACAGTGGAATTCAATGTAACTGTAGCTTCTTTTCTCTTTGTAGTTATACGTGAACTTATTTTTCTTACATTCAAGTACTTTGAAGGGTTGCTGGGACCATACATACACATTTCTGTACCGCTGTTGCCAAGTCTTAAAACACACAATCTCAATTTGGTGCCATGAGGCATAAAGGAAGATGTGAGAGTCCTTGTCTTTCAGAGCCTCTATTTCCCTCATGAGGACATCACATTTGTACTGGCTGAATTCCAGGGTCGTTCTCAGGTGGTGCTGTTTCATGAACTCTTTCCGGGAGAGGTTCTGGCCATTTATGATCTGGCCCCATAGGGGGCACAGTAAGACCAAGACAGGACCCAGAACCTTTAGAGAAGATGCCATCTCAGTCACCAACATCACCTGCAGGTCCACAAGGAAGACAGACAAAAGCATGATCTAAATACTCCCCTGAGATCTCAGCTTCAGCTTGAAATCCTTTACCCCTGCCAGTGAAGGCCCTTGGGCCCAGATTCACTATTTGGTTTCCAGACTAGAACATGAAAAGTCTCACTAGATAATAAAGTTTTTAAGAACTGAAAATAGGTTGTAGTTTGAGTTAGCCAAGCATAAAGCTATAATAAATAAATAAATGAAGTTTGCTTTGAGAATTTCAAAGATTTGCAGTCTTTGGAATTCTATTTTGCACCCAATCAATTGCCCTCTGGCTAGCCCCTTATTGGAATCCTGGTGTGACGCTGTGGGTTAATGTGCTGGGCTGCAAAATCTGTTTGAACTGCAAAGTCAGCAGTTCAAGTGCACCAGTCGCTCCTCGGAAACCCTATACAGGGTCACTATAGATCGGAACCCACTCAACAGCACTTCACAACAACAAGCTCCTTATTGCCCTCTACATCAACTTTCAGGGGAGCATGTGTCCAAAAGAGAATGGTATTTTAAGTTTTGTGTTTATGAATTGGAAAGGCTTGACCCTTTTAAGGAAAACAGAAGATGAGCAAATATTTGGGAAATGTTTTCTGGATAGGAAGATATTTGTTCCTTGAAATCACATCCCAAGTGGCAATTGCACTGATTTTTCATAACTGTGCTTACCCAGGGTCTCAGTCTCAACTTCCTTATAACACTTCACCAAAGCAAGTGTGAAACACATCGTAACTTCTTACTACTCACACCCCTTTTCAGGACCCATTTCCTTAATTATCATAATGATAAAATCTTGATTTGCTTGAGTTATCTGTTGAGAATGCAACTATAAAAGATTCCAGTTTGTAAATATTGTTTAGACCAGTCAAGTGCCAAGACTGTAACTGTCTTCACAGGAGCTATTGTAGTCAAAGCATGGGTTGTTGAATTGTTTCAAAGTCTCCATTTTAAATGAAGTCTTCTGTGTTCATCTTTTATATGGAGTATACTGGCTCTAGGAGATCTGGTAGCGTAGTGGTTACAAATCGGGCTGTGAACCACAAGGTCAGCAGTTCGAAACTACCAGCTGTTCCGCGGGTGAAAGATGAGGCTTTCTGCTCCCGTAAAGATTTACAGCTTCGGAAACCCTATACAGGGTCGCTATGGGTATGGAACCGACCCCATGGCTCATAACAACAAATACTGGCTCTAGTGAACCTCTGAGTATCAGTGTCCTCAAATGAGCCTAATCACAGCTCCCTCAAAGACCTGTGAGAATCTAATGAGATGAATGTATATGAGAGCACTTCTGAGGGTATTAAATGTTATATCAGACACAGAACCAGGGATAGGCACTTTCTCCTCTTTCTCTTTTGTGGGATTCTGTCTCTGGCCATAAGGTCACAAATGAGATGAGATGAACAGAATTTAAGTTGCTTTACTGAAGGGGCAGAGGGTACCCATATCAGTGGAATTAATACTGGCTTGAATTCAGGCTTTTACTTCCTACCAACTGAGTAATTCTAAAGTCTATCATCAATAAGACTTTTATTCTAAAGTCTATCATCAATAAGTTCATTTAAGACCCTGGTGCCTTCCAGTGTTCCTGGCTCTTTCCCCCAAGCATTTTTAAAGCATCAAGCATTCCAACTTACCCTATTCAGATTCAACATTCAAGTCACTGATAGTTGTGGGATTATTCCATAGATCTGAAGAGCAGAGTTTCCTTTTTGAGTACAAGAGGTCTGAAGCAGTAGAGACAGGAACAGCAGTGGGAGCACATTGCTCCACCTGATTGATGTGGAGGCAGCGGAATGGAGGAAGCAGTCTTGTTATGTGAGCCCTTCCCTATACCTTCTCAAGTAGAACACTTTTGTTCACTTTGATAATAGCCTGGAGCAAATATGACAGACATCAAAGATAGACTTCTGGGCACTGGGGAGAGGTGACTCTGAACAGGGGTTATCTGGACTTACTAGGAGAGAATTAGAGATCTGACTACTAAGCTAATTTCCTTATAAAACCTGAGATGAAATGTTTCTAGTTGGCTAAATTCTATGGAAGTTCAGGAAAGGAAACCACTTCTGGAAATGTGAAATGTTGGCCCCTCATTGAGGAATGAAAGAGTATTTAGTCAAAGGTGCAATTTAAGGATAAAATGAGATACTTGAATGTATTTTTACCAACACTTTAAAAGGCTGCTTCCAGTTATGCTACCTTGGTGGAGTTTCTCACAGCCACCTTGCTACCAGAAAGTTCTGTTTATATCCAGAATGTATCTTCAAAGCATGTCAGCAAAGCCATCCTGATTTTTTCTTTTCTTTTTTCTGTATTATCCTGGTCTTCTCTTTGGATGGAAAATAAATCATGATAAGCTATAGACATGTTGGCATTTAGAGAAACTGTTGTTATTGTTGTTGGGCATATAGTGACCCTGCATAGGGTTTCTGAGGAGCAATTGATGGATTTGAACTGTTGACCTTGTGATTTAAACCGACCTTGCGGTCCAAGGCATATCCTATAACTCCAAACTGTTGTTGTTGTTATGTGCCGTGGAGTCGGTTCCAACTCATAGTGACACTGTACAGGGTTTCCGAGGCTGTAAATCTTTACGGGAGCAGAATGCCTCTTCTTTGTCCCGTGGAACAACTGGTAGTTTCGAACTGCTGACCTTGTGGTTCACCGCCCGTTTTGTAACCATGACGCTACCAGAGCTCCTTTCTATTGCACTTTAAATCCCAACTTCTGTCAAGCATTCCTTTAATAGAGAAAAGGGCATCATGTGCTAATAGGTTGGGCTAGGACGGTCTCAGATTACACTTTGTAAATTTTCCTACTCTCTGGACCTTTTGGTGTCAAGGAGAGTAAAATATAAAGAATTCTTGGCACTTGATTTTGGATGACTGAAAGGTGACGAGAAAATTTAAGATGGCGATTGAATTGCCCCCCTAAAAAGTTATGTTGGAATTCTAACCTCTGTACCTATAAAAGTGACCCTGTTTGGGGAATAGGGGTCATATTTTGCTGTTATGTTCTTTAGATCTTTTCTTTTGTTACTTTCTTTACAGTCAACAGTTTGTAGTATTTTTGTTGTTGTTGTTATAGTAGCATTAGGTAACTAAGGCATAGTTTGGTACCTGGAGTGGAGTGTTGATAGATCAAATACCTAAAGTGTGAAAGTGATTTTTGAATTGGTTGATGTGTGGGGGATGGAGGAGTTTTAATGCATTTGGTGGTAAAAGAATAGATTGTCTTGAAGAGACTGTAGAAATATAGACATTAGCATGAGGACTCAGAAAGAAATCAGTAATGTGGAAAAAAAGAGAAGAGCACTGTGGCTCTGAATAGGGGAAGAGCTAAGAAACATGTTAATTTATCTTCTAAGTCAGAAAGAAAATACAGTTTAGGAAAAGGTGCTAAAATTACCTCTACATCGCCATGATTGTTGTTGCTGTTAAGTGCCATCAAGTCTGTTCTGACTCATAGCAACCCTGCATAGGGTTTCCAAGGAGTGCCTGGTGGGTTTGAGCTAATGACTTTTTGGTTAGTGGTCCAGGGCTTATTCTCCATCACCACATCAGGACTCCACATGACCATGATAATGCTCACTAAAAAATGTATTCACAAATGCACCAAACCTCCTGTCTTATAAAACTATTTTGTTTCTATGGGAAAAGAGAATGTGGCAACATGAGCAGCAGCCAAAGGTGGTATTCCTTTGAGGTGCTGAAGGAATTTGCTGACTTTGAGGCCCAGGAAGATACCTGGAGGACTTGAAACCATTACTCTCTACTCATGGAGTAGTCCCAGGAGTATGTATATAACTGTCTCCAGCAGTCCTCATGACCTTACCATGGTAATTGATTGATAATTGGAGATTTATCCCAATTTCAGTATCAATTCTCTGGCTTGTTAAAATTCTCTTTTTATAAAATGTGGGCAAACTACCTGCTGACCACAAAAATCTATCTCTTGATCTTGCACAGTAATTGATTTATAGCTGAGTTTGTGGCTGTCCAGCCAGATTACACTTCCCAGGATCCTCAATTATTATATGTTACCATATGAGTATATTCTAGCAAAAGAATGAAAATAAATGTGATTTTCAATCTGGTCCTTAAAATTGCAGATGTGTTATTGTCCATTCTCATTCCCCTTCACTACCACTAGAAGCAAAGCAAGAAGATGATGTAGGTTGCCTAATGCAAATGATAATGGTATACTAAAGGGTCTTAACCTGGGCTCCATGGCCCTCCAAACAGTCCATAAACAGAATTACAAGCTGATGGAGCTCTGGTAGTGTAGTGGTTACAAATTGGGCTGCTAGCCTCAGGGTCAGCAATTGAAAACTACCAGCTGTTCCGCAG